CGCCTCAGTGATTCGGTGAATAGGGTCTCCCCACCCACCCAGTGAAGGAGCTGCTCTAGTATAACATTGTGAACAGTGCAATCTGTGTCTCCCCCAGGGCGTAACAGAGGTTCTCTGTGAGGCGTGTGAACAGTTGGGATGGAAATCACCCACCAAAATCCAGAAGGAAGCTCTGCCAGTCGCACTGCAAGGTGAGATATTTAACAGCATTCACACCTGTCAAGTTGAACATTGTTTCATCTGTACGTGTTCACATCACACGTGCTTTCTAATGCTTACGGTTTGCGTATTTGAACTCTCCATTTGCATCTTTAGTGAGCACTAATGATCCTGTGGCATTAACTGAAGTCAGGGATGATTTTATTTGGTGTTCCTGTGCCAGTGTTCATTAACATTATTGAAACATTTAGCTGTTTGTTGTGAAATTGCTCCTTCTGGGATCTTGCTGTGCACCATTGACTGCACGGTTCCTACCTTAAAACAGTTGACTACACCGTGGCTGGAAAGAAGCTGATACAATTCAAAGATATGATTGGTATTGTTGAAATTCATTGATCTTATGGAAGCAATTCAGAAAAGGCTTACTAAACTAATTCCAAGGCTCTCGACCTGAAATGTCAGTTTTCCTGCTCCTCTGATGCTGTCTGGCCTGCTGTGTTCCTCCAGTTCCACACTGTGTTATCTCTAACTCCAGCATCGGCAGTTCCTACTATCTCTGAACTGACTGGATTGCCTGATGAGGAAAGGCCGGACAGGCTGGGCCTATATCCTCTGGAATTTAGAAGAGTCAAAGGTGACTTAAATGAAACATACAAGATCCTGAGGGGACTTCACTGGGTGGAGACTGAAAGGATGTTTCCTCTTGTGGGAGGATCTAGAACTGGGGGTCTCTGTTTTAAATGGGTGTCCCCTTATTTTTAACAGATGAGGAAACATATTTTTCTCTCAACTGGATGAGAGTCTTTTTTCGAATTCCCTTTCTCATAAGGCAGTGCATGCAGAATCTTTTAAGTGTTTCGAAGGCAGAGATAGATTCTTGATGACCAAGGGGATGAAAGAATATCGGGATATGCAGGAATGTAGAGTTGAGGTTAAAATCAGATAAGTCATGATGTTACTGAATGATGGAGCATGATCAAAGGGCCGAATGGCCTACACTTGGATGTTGTTTTTATACAAACGGAGCGTATGTTCCTAATGCAGGAGAAATGGTAATGTCATCAAAAATGACTGCTATGATTGATTTGTGCATGAATGTTTGAAACAAGAAGGTATGTGTACCAATGTGCAATTCTCCTGGTTGGAATCTGTTGCTTATTTCACTGTCAAATGTCCAATCTCATAATCAAGAGGAAGGCTATTCTTGTACAATCTTGACTTCCTTTACTATTCACATCAGGTGACAAGAACCTTGAACTGAAAGAAGTTGTTTCAGAGATAGTAGGAACTGCAGATGCTGGAGAATCTGAGATAACAAGGTATAGAGCTGGATGAACACAGCAGGCCAAGCAGTGTCAGAGGAGCAGGAAAGCTGATGTTTCGGGAAGGGTCTCGGCCCGAAACGTTAGCTTTCCTCCTCCTCTGACGCTGCTTGACCTGCTGTGTTCATCCAGCTCTACACCTTGTTATCCCTTGAACTGAAAGAAATTAGGTTTCACATAGTTGGAGCTTTGCTGATCGTTTAAGACTGGGGAATGTGAAAAGACTTGGAAACAGCCTGCTTTGTGATTACTCCGTGTAAATTCCCTGCACGCAATATGCTGTGAGGGTTGGGGAAAATGAGCACGGTTCTGTAGGAAGCTTTTGGTTTGAAGCAAGGCTGAATTAAATTAATTGTCAGGCGATGTCTCGATTGCTCAATTTCTGCGCATGCATGTTCTTTGCTTCACCATCTGGTAGTTTTGCCCATAAACACACCCTAAGCTGAAATGAGGCTCGTAATGGATAGGAGAAGGCCATTCAGTCTTTGAGCCTGCCCTTGTAGTCAGTTAGTCACCATTGATGATGTATCCCAATCTGTCGTCCTTAATTCGATAAATCTTTGTATTCTTTTTCTTTCTTTATTCATTCGTGGAATGAGGGTGTCACTGGCTAGGCAGCATTTATTGCCCATCCCTAATTGTCCAGGGGGCAGTTCAGAGTCAACCACATTGCTGTGGGTCTGGAGTCACATGTAGGCCAGACCAGGTAAGGATGGCAGTTTCCTTCCCTAAAGGACATTAGTGACCCAGTTGGGTTTTTCCAACAATTGGCAATGAATTCATGGTCATTATTAGATTCTTAATTCAGATTTTTTAAAATTGAATTCCAGCTCCACCATCTGCCTTGGCAGGATTTGAACTCGGGTCCACAGAACATTATGTGTATTTCTGGATTAACAGTTCTGCTCATAAGAAATTCAGAACTTAAAGAACAATAGTCTGTGGATGATAGAAATTTGAACGACAAAGAGAAAATGCTGGAAATAGGTATCATTTGTGGATTGAAATCTGAGTTAATGTTTCAGGTCTGTGACCTTTATATCAGAACTAGATCAGACTGGAAATGTTAACTTTCTCTCCACAGAAATTTTATGATTTGTTTTGAAATTTTCAGTTCTCCGCCCCAATTGTTGTGGGAGAGAATGTGGCACATTCTCACTGCCACTTGAGTGAAGAGAGGCTTCCTGACATCACCCCTGAATGGCCGGGCTCAAATTAGAAGTTTCAGCTTCCCCTTCTTAAATAAATGAGGAAGCCTGGTGAGAGGGGTAGAGGAAGTGAGAGACCCCGAGGTGTGTGCCCATAGATCTCTGAAGATGGCAGGACGGGTAGATAAGGTGATAAAGAAGGCAGTTGGAATGCGTTCCTTCTTTTGGTGAGGATTGAATACAAGAGCAGTGATGTGATGTTGGAACAATATAAGACACTGGTTAGGCCACTTCTGGAGTTTTGTGTACTGTTCTGGTCACCACATTACAGGAAGGACATAATTGCTGAAGAGTATGTGTCGGGGAGGTTTGCAAAAATGCTTCTAGGGCATTAAAGTTGCAGTAATGAAGAAAGGTTGGAAGGGCTCGTGTTGTTTTCCTTAGAACAGCAGACGCTGAGGGGTGACTTCATGAAGGGTACAAAATAACGAAGAGCTTTGATAGATTGGGCAGGGAAGACCGGCTTTCCCCGAGCAGAGAGGTCACTTCCTGGTAATGAAGATGATCAATAGAAGAATTAGAGGAGATGAGGAAAAACATTTTCACTCAGAGGGTGATGAGTCTGGAATTCACTGCCCAGTTTGGTGGTTGAGGCAGAAATCCTCAGCTCAATTAAAAAGGAACCTAGATCTGACGCTAGGCACTGTGCAGGTGATTCTTTGCGGTACAGTGTAAGATGCTGTTGGGAGTGGTAAGTTGTAGCAGTGTTTGTTATGCCAGAAAGCAATGAGCTGGTTTTATCACAAGCTCCAGTTGCCCTGAAAGTTTGCTCCTCACAAGGTGACTTTGCACAATTACTGACCGGCTTTCTGCATCATTATCCTTCCTTTTCCACTGGGGAGTTAATTTCACTAATCCAGTTTAAATCTAGCGACAGTCTATGTGTCAAGCCCTGTTTTACCTTGCCCTACTCTGTCTTTTAGGACGGGACATCATCGGCCTGGCTGAGACTGGCTCTGGAAAGACCGGAGCCTTTGCTCTCCCAATCCTGCAGGCTCTCTTGGAGAAACCCCAGCGCCTGTTTGCACTTGTCCTGACACCAACCCGGGAGCTCGCGTTTCAGATCTCAGAGCAATTTGAAGCTTTAGGCTCTTCCATTGGAGTGAAATCCGGTGAGTACTGACTTGATCGAGGCCAGAGGGGGAATGAGACATGCGCTAAGCTGGATTTTGATCAGAGATGATGTGGTTGATTGGTGAGGTTCTCACATGAGGCATTGATGGGTAATTTGATCATCGCCTAACTCTGTAATGCAGCACCTGATATCCCCAATTAACAACTGCCCTGGCCTAAAAATTAATAACTAAAGGTAACCATAGGCTGAAACTGACTCTGTTTGTGTAATGAAATGTGGATACTGAATGATAATGCAAGAAGCAATCCTTGGCCCCACCACACTGTGTCCCATTTAATAAGATTGTGCTTGTTTAGCACATTCTCTGGTTAAAACTTTCCAAAATGTTTTGGGTTTTGATGGAGTGGTTTGACCTCAGTGTGATGGTGAGGTTCTGCTTTCTGTGATAATCTGAAAGATTTTTTTTTTGCTTACAGCGGTGATAGTGGGTGGAATTGATATGATGTCACAAAGTCTCGCTCTGGCAAAAAAGCCTCATGTTATTATCGGTGAGTGTTTACATTGCCTTCACCTTCTGATGCCACTCCCCTCCACGGTGGAATGCAGTAACTCCATACCCAGTACCTGACGATGTCTGCTGTTAGCACTAGTGCATGTACCTGAGCAGTTGGTAGTTACAAACTCCTTGGCTCTGGAGTTCGTCACTACTGAACCCCATCCTGTGTGACCGTGCTAAGACCATACGACACAGGAACAGCAGGAGTCTGTTTGGCCCCTTGAGCCTACTACACCATTCAATAGGATCATGGCTGATCCATGACATTCCTCATGTCCACTTTCCTGCCCTTTCCCTGTAAGCCTTGATTGCCGACTGATCAAGAATCTGTCTCGGCCTTGAATATTCACAAGGACTCTGCTTTCACAGCTCTGTGGCAAGGGGTTCGAAAGACTCTCAACCTTCTGAGAGAAGAAATTCCTTCTCGTCTCAGTCTTAAATTGGTGTCCCTTTATTCTGAGACTATGCCTCTAATCCTAGACTTTCCCATGAGAGGAAATGTCCTCACAACATTTACCCTGTCAAACCTGTTAAGAATCCTGTATGTTACAATGAGATCACTTCACATTATTCTAAACTCTAGAGAGTAGAGTCCCAACCTCTTTAGCTTTTGCGCATAAGACAATACCCTCCCCATACCAGGGATCATCCAAGTGAACACAGCAGGCCAAGCAGCATCATAGGAGCAGAGAGGCTGACGTTTCGGGCCTAGACCCTTCTTCAGAAAAGGGGGAGGGGAAGGGGGTTCTGAAATAAATAGGGAGAGAGTGGGAGGCGGATAGAGGAGAGGATAGGTGGAGAGGAAACAAACAGGTTGAAGAGGCGGGGATGGAGCCAGTAAAGGTGAGTGTAGGT